CCTTAACCGAAATCTGTGGGCGGTACATGTAATAAGAATGTAGGGCGAAAACATAGAGAACGCCGATTTCGGAGACTGACTCAGTAAGCGCCGGTAGGTATAAAAATTCACATATGATTTCCAACTTGCCCCACATAGAGCTGGCAGACTGCAGGCGGCTTTAAGCTCGAATCGGCGTTGTCCAAACTACATTCTTATTACGCCGAAAAACTGGGAAGGGCGTTTCGCTGTCAACTCGCGACCTCAGTGCTTTCTTGTCCTACCTCCATGTTTTAACTGTACAGATGTGACTTCTTCTTAAGCTCACTCTTTGTTGTGAACTGCTTTCACTGTTATTAAAAATGGAGATGCGACAAGAAAGCACTGAGGTCGCGAACTCATGCCGTCTCGCCGTCGACAACTCGGGGTGAGCGGTTTGCGTGACGTCACCCGACTGGACCGGGGACAATTTTAAATGGCCAATTCAGAGCTGGTACTTCTCGGTAGACAAAAACTAATTACATTTTTTAAATCAGCGTCGTCAAATTAGGGAGGCTGAAAAGCAGAATTACATTTTAAGCAATATTTTAGGAATTTCGAGGGGGTTTTTTAATCCCCAAATAAAATATGCTTCATAAATACCAGCTGTGTTTTGGTGTAATTTTTTTCTTATATCTAGATCTAGGCTTTAGGCGCCCTCTATGTGGAGTCAAGCAGACACCTACTGATACTTCTAGACCGACCAAATTTTAAAACGCAGCTTTTTCAATCACGAATAGATCTAATGGTAGGCTACTCCTCGAAGTCTTTTGATGTTGATTTCTTTTTCACGTGATTTGGTTAAGGCTGTAGTGTACGTACCCCTTGACAGTTTTGTAATCGTTTGCTTTCAGTTGGCCAGATGATATCCAAACAGTGCAAGCTGGACCTTTTACTTTTAAGTGATGAGATCACGTGAGGGTTTTTTGTTTTTTTTTAAAAATAATTCGACCAGGGTGACTTTTACTTGGCAATTTGTTGTTCGGAGAAAGGAAGAAAAAAAAAGCCTCACAGTTTTATTTAAATCATTTTCTGTGCGTTGTTAAACTAAAAAGATATACATGTATTATGCCCAGGTATAAGCCTATCACTGCTGACCGCCACAAGGCACTATCGGTCTTTTTGAAGCACGGATGCAACTTAGAAAAGCTGTCAGAAGCCTCAACTGCAACGTTAACAAACTTTCATTCAAGCTTAGTAGAACAGAAAAGAACCACTGACTATAGGCTACATATTATGTTGGTGAGAGACAATGAAGCAGATGTAGTAGTAGCCAACCACGCATAACTTACCACCAATAAGACCAGCATAATATTAAATGAATGTCTTATTTGCATCACCGATGCCAAACAGCATTAATTTTGCAACAGCAGGAGGCTCCACGGAAGATGAGATGTTCTGTTGTGTATCCGAACACCATAGCCAATCGACGACATGACGTGGGACTTGCTGGCCGAAAATCTCATTCTCATATTGGCCTTTGAGCTAATAAATGTTCGCCCACAGAGCCGCTATTAAGTAGGTGGGGCAGCATCTTCGTACTACCGCACATTAATGGCTTGTAGTTATTGTTGGGTTTGTTTGTTTTTCGTGTTGTTGTTTTTCTAGGCTCCCTAAGGATCCCCAGTCCCCAGACCCAATCCAGAGCGTCCCCAGAAGGTGAATGGGTAATGGCTTTCAGATCTTGATCTGGAGGTTAGTGCTTAACAGTGAGTGAGGAAGGTAATGGAAGATGGTCATGGGGAGTAGAGGCGAACCTTGGTGGCACAGGTGCTTCAATAAATGCCTCAATGCTTGTAGAAAGGGCCATCTTTGCGACGGAGGGCCCAATTAATTCTACCAAAGCCTCAACCGTCTTGTAAGTTGTAATTTAAGAAGTTAGTGGCAGACAATGGCTAGCAGAAAAAAGAAACGGTTCACAAAACAGCAGTTAACAAAGGAGAAACCACTGTTATAATCTCCCGAGAAAGTCATAGCTTGCCAAATTTATCTGTGATTAACAATGTTAAGAGGAGAGGGATTCACGATCAATGTCTTTATTTTTTATTTTTGGTAAGTGTTTTACGACGCTCTCAACTGCACAAGGTCGAGCGCACGGGACACAATAAATATTTTCAGTTGGTAGGATATTTTGAATTTTGCTCGGGTGGGGGCCGAAGCCTACTCATCAATTTTAGAACACCAAGGGATCTTTTAACGTGCGCAACTTGCACACGGGACCCCCGAGATTTTTCGCCCTTGCCCGAGAAGGCTATGCGTAGCTATGTCCTCCCAGGAGATCAGGGGCGTGGCTGAAAAACAGCAGTAAGAAGGAGCCAAGGAGAAGCAGTAGAAAGGTTACAGAAAGAGTTAGGAGCCCAGAGGAGGGGGCAGAGGAGGTGAGGGGGTTGGGTCAGAAAGGGGAGACGAAAAGCAGACGACAGAACATTGCTAGTGAACAGGAAAGCCGACAATTTTAAAGAAGAAATGTGTTTTTTTCCGTTGCTACCCGGATTCGAACCCGACACATTTGAAAGAGAGGCGAACACCTTAACCTCTAGGTCACAAGA